TATATATATATGTAGAGTCTTTTCAACTCACGTTTAAATTTAATTAATTTATTAGGCTAATGAATTAATTGCTTCATAATTAAAATTCATCATTTTTTGCTATGTGCAGCTATACGCATCGTTCGCTCCGCGATCCGCGGAAGCCGCGAAGGAGCCGCGAAGAGGGCGAACGAAACGTAAGGTAACGCACACTCTAACGCTACGAACACAGGATCGTATTTTTGCATTCGGATGGGGATCACGTTACCATGAGCCATTTTAGGCGCAACTATCTTTGCTCGACGCTGAGCGCCGCGACGCGCGGCGTCGCGATGCTTGTATGCCGTGCCCGGACCAATCTCGTTTCTCGTTACGCAAAAGCAGTCACTGACCAAAATAAAATCCGAGTCTAACGCTCTCTCTCCTCTTCATCTCGCGTATATACTTTGCGCGAGCGTTAATATGTTTCATATATCTGCGCATGTCAAAATTTTGAACTTGAAATAACTATCTTTTCTCCTCTCCTTCCTATCTCTTCTCAACGCCATTTTTTTTTACTCCTCTCCTCGTTTCCTACTGTCATTATCTTTTTGATGGATTGTAGATTTTGTTATTCGTCACAGTTTGAACTGATGACGTTGAGACACGTTCACGGCGATCAGCTGTTTCGGACGAAATGTCTAAGTTTCGCAAAACTGACGAATATTATATAAAAATTAGCTAATTTTTGAAAATCTTTTGCATAACGAAATAAACATGTGAGTGCGAAAAGAGATCATTTTACAATATTTATTCTATTTAATTTATGGATCTATATATTTTTTTATTAATTAAAATGTGAAACAATATATTTGTATATATATCACATAGTAGTATCATTTGTGCAAATATTTTTAATGAAATTTCTCACACGTAAATGTATTTAATCTTTCTTTGTGTATATGAAGAAAGGTAGTTTAACACTACTAGCGTAACGGAGTCGCTTACTGTACTTCATTGTCTTTTAGTTTTACGCACGTTGAAATATAATCCTATACATTTCGATGCACATCGATGCAAACAAGATTCATAAATTTGTCAGTGTTTATGTCATTAGGCAGCCAACAACAATAACATGTTCATTTTCTCCATTCTTTAACGTATAACGCAGTTGGCAAATGTGCTCTAGCGAAACTATCTCCGATAAAACGGAAATCTAAATCTGTAATCGCTATCTTGTATATATCAAAAAATTTATTTGTAAGACGAAATATGCGCAAAACGCCGTTTCTCAGATTTCTGTAAGAATCTCTAAAATTGAAATTTTCTGTGTGAAATCATTTACCTATTTATCGTAAAAGTTTTGATAAATTAGTATAGATTAGAATCGAGAAAAATCACAAAGAAAATATTAATAGATGAATATAATTCATGGTTTTGTTTCTTTTTCACTACATAACAAGCACATAATTGAACGACCTTTTTATCTTGATCTTTTTAGAAAATTTGGCACTATGCCTGTACTACAACAAGATCATAATAAATGTCTTTCGGAAGAAAATTTTACAATTAGCTTTAGAGATTTTCTAATACATTACTTTCACCGGCATGATTAGTATAATACTATCGTTGATTCTTAATTGCAAAATAATAATTTTTGATTACTTTAATCGGATAATCAAAAATTAATTTATGCCTAAGAAAAAATGAGAATAAAATTTTAGCAGATATCAGTATATAAACAAGATTATAGATTTTATATTACTTCTTTTCAATAATTAAGCATATTATATGTTTAAAATATAATAAGATTAATCTTGGCAATATATCGAGCTAAATATAGAAATTCTGCTCCCTTTAATTGTCTTCGAAATAATAACGAAATATTTTTCACTCATTAGAATTAGAGGATTACTCCGAAACAAATTGTTAACAGAAGAAAATTGTATGAATTGCGCTCAAGATATTATGTATGTTTTCTTTTGATGGCGGTCGCGTAACGCAACGTCACCCTTCTTTGGGGGCGCGTGAAAGAATTTTATGAGACGGTCACGTTGAAGTGCGCGGAGAACTATCTTTAGAGCTCTCGCACGGACGGTGCTCCTTGCTCGGAAATAGAATACGCATACGTTGATGGGATGCTCGCCAAAAGTATATAAAAATTTCATCGCTTGTTTCCCAATAAAAAATTAAAAAAAAAGTAATCGTAAAAATATATGCCGCTAATCTGTGAATCAGAATTTTTGTGAGCCTAAAAATTGCAATATATAAAATGTAATTTCGTAAATTCACACGATTATAAAATATTTAATATTTTATAACGTGTTTCTTTCTTGAGCTCTTCCTGTTCGATAGATCGTGTTGTTCGAAAGTATGATCATCAAACATTATCGCGACTGACCTCTCTGCTGACTGGTGATCTGTTGCCGCGTGATTTGTCTTTCCGTCCGTTGCTGGATGTATTGTTGTTGTTGTTGTTCCTGCATGATTTGTTGTTGCTGTTGTAGCTTTTGCTGTTCTTGAGACTGTTGTCGCTTCATCTTGGATCGAGAAATCCGACAAAGTCACGAGTCGTTCGAACGGCAGAATCGTGGCTTAATGAACTGCTAACTATAATCTAGGAGAATCTACAGAGATCTTCGTTTATAATGTATTTCTCTCTTTGCCTCTCTTTTTTTTTCAATATATCGCGTTTTGTCACTCGCCGAGATTTAACGAACAAACTCTCTCACAAACGACGGACTGGAGCAAATCACTCGCACTTATCTCTTTCGCCCCGCAATACGCGCAGTATTCTGCTGGTAACCGCGGTTCAGTTCAATCAGTCGGCAGAAATCAAGTCATCGTCAAAAGTCTTGTCCCCGTGATTCTTTAAACCAAGACGTCGGTCGAATGCGAATTGAACGGGTTACGACTTGACGCTTGGCTAAAACGCGAGGAGATGGAGAGGGTGTTACATGGTTTGGGGTGGGGACATCCGAGGATACCTACTGCTGAGGAACAAGAGAAATATAGCATATGTGCTAGAGTTAGCTAGACATATTGCAAAAGATTTCAACAATTTTTATACATCACGATTTAAGAATACGAATGAGTAAAAGAATACTAACATGCAACGCATCATAAAAATATTTGCGTGACACATAACAGATATTTTTATTCCAGAAATTAAGATTTTAACATTTTTCTGATAACGACTGGCTTTAAGATTAGTTCACACAAAAGGAATATTAAATACAAAATCAAAATGTTGTTTGCTGTAGATACATTTTATAAAGAATCCGTTTGTACATCGCTGATCGGAGGAGCGGTAAAAGTCTCACGCAGCGTTCTCGCGCTCACTGACAGCCGCCCACGCATCTTCACATTATTGCCCCCTCCGTGCTTACATCTCTCTTTCGTCGTTCCTCTCCGTGAAGCCGAGCACTTCTTAAGCTTGAATGCGCACTCGTAGGTACATTTCTTTCTTTGCTCTTCTTTCTTCTTCTTCTTCGCGTGTGTCTTCATCGCTTCTTCTCTTTATCGAATCTTTATCTATAGACATCCAGATCTTTCTTTTAATTTGCAATGTACGCGTTGGCTTGCAATTTTTTTTCTTTCTCTCTCTTTTTTTTTCTCTCTATTTTCACAATCAGCCTCAATCTGTTTGTTCTCTTTTCCTTAGTGAAATTTGGTAATAAGAAATATATATTTTCATTTGCGTAAGCTCGACCAAGTTTAGCTGCGTGAATAACCCTTAATCGCGACTCTGAGAATGCATCGCCCAGCTACTACAAACCGCATTCTAAATGCGTGTGCCTAAACGCCTATCAGTGAGCCTAACAACGCGGGGGATGCCTCGTAATACATAAATAACGACTCGCATGTTTCGAGATACTTTTAACACCATTCGAGATACTATATATAGGGAGCATTTTTTACTACTAATTGTAAAATTTAATCGAGATCATCTATTTTTGCGTTGTAACTATAAATATAGTTTAAATGTTTTATCCACTTAGATAAAAAAAAAGATTCTTTCTTTTCCCAAATAATCGTAGTTTTTCGTAAGCAATGAAAATGATCCTGCCTAACCGTTTTGACGAATCGGAGCGAAACGCATACCGATAACTAAATTTGCTGACGGGTGCACTCGACCAATTCATATCCATTAACGATAATCATCTTTCCATGCAATATATACTTCGCATTGCAATTAATCTACATCAGCTTTCTGTTGTCGTCAATATTAATAAAAAGTGAACGTTAACGGTCATGACGCGTGCAACGAAGGAAGTACCTTCGCGCGCCAGAAACATCAGCACGATCATCACATCAAGAAGGTGGGTCACGCGTGAATCACCACGTTTCGTCCATGATGCCGCATAGCGACGCATCTATTTTGAGATTTTGTGAAATAATCTCGGTCGACATGATGAGAGAAGTCTTTACGTATTTCTATGATTCAAATACTGAACACGAAAGAATGTTTCGAAACCGTTAAAAGCGATGCGATCTTTTTACTTCATAGACTTGTTATAATCTATTTTGATGGAGCACAGTTAACAAAATTGTCATTAAGAACCGACGCGATTCACTTGAAAGTTGTATATATACGCTCGTTCTCTGAGAAGTTTCTTAAATAGAGAAATAGCCTTGATCAAATATTCTTTTTCGTGATCTCTTTTTCTACCTAAATATAAATTTATACACGCAAGATCAAAGTTATTAACTTCAAGTACTCACCGTTTTCCACATTGTACACTCCATCACAATTATACAAAGGGAACTTGATATCCAAACGTAAATCATCAATGTCAGTCTTGTTCTTCGTGTAGATGCTATCTAATTCATGTCCAATGTAATTTGTCTCCTTTATTGTATCGAAATTTCTCGTCGCATTTTCGCGATTGTTTCCTTCTATGAAACTGTTACATAATTTAACGATAGTTTGATAATGAATGATATTTAATTTGACGGATTATATTAAATGATCGATGCAACTACCTGTAATCTGTAGACAATCCGAAATCATAAAAAGATTCGTACGGTTGTTTACAATTTATAATAGACGTAACGTCTTTATCTTGCGATAGGAATAAATCTTTTAAAGCTACATATTTTGGTGTATCCTGCGGAAATCGTTCGATTAAGCATTCCTTGTTCGGATCACAATAAATACCATATATTGATGACAATGCGCCTGTAAAGAAAGTAATGCTGCTTTGGAAAAAATATAATGATTGTCGTTATACAGTTACGTAACCGCATCATAAAGAAAATGGATTAATACATATACACTCTCTCTCTCTTTCTCTATCTATATAAGATCGCTTGTTTTTCTTTCGTATATTTTTGGATCATCGACTCACATTTTCCTCCACATTCCGCGAGATTATTTTACCATCTATTTTCATACCAGATCATCCGTTTTTTATGCAAGAGATGAATCATTTTTTATAATTTCCAGAAACTGTCGAAAAAAATTCTCACGATATGAAACTCGATCGTTTATGTGCTGGACATGATGTAATGTTTTAATCGTCCTCTGGTTTTAATAAAAAATAATTTCTAACTTTAAACAATATAAGTGTTTTAAGTTATAAAAATACTATCTTAAAAAATTACATTGGCGAGACAATATATATATAGTTTAAATGTAAGATGCAATTAGAAAATCATAAGAATCTTTTTTAAACGCTTAAATTTTGAAAAAGCTGCATATATACAGAGTATTTCAGGTCCTATGGGATAAATTTCAGAGAGTAGATCTCGTTAAGAAAATCAATTTTTGTCAAGAAACCCGTGATCGCCTGTGAGATAAGCAACCAGTCGCTTGATAACATTGCGTGTGTAATACTTAAATAAAATTTAAAAAAAAAACAATAAAAAGTAAAAACAAAATCAAAGGATGTGGACTAGTATTATTAAAGTGTGTGTGTGTGTGTGTGTAATAAAAGATTGAGAGAGATGGTTAAACTATTAATAACAGTCATATTACTAATGCTATATGAAAGAGAATTTTTTTTATTAAAAAAATAATAAAAAATCATTTCATAATTTTTACGATTAATATTAAAAATTTATGAGGAACTTTCATTATACTGATTTTTGTTATTTATTCGCATAGACAAATAGCATATAATATTCTTTCATCTTTGTATTGCATTAATTACCTTATATATGATTAGACGTTTTTAGATTTCCTTTCACCAATAATACTGCCACATCACAATATTTTAAAGAATATCAAACGAGAGACAGTTACGAAGGCACAATAGAAAAGGAAGATGGAACATAGGCAAGAATATGAAATAATTACCCATAAACCAATAGCCAAGTTTATATTGTAGAGAAAGCACACATTTTTTTATTTACATAGTATATAAATATCCATATGACCATGAGTGTGAACAGCAATATTAATAAGTAGTTAACTCCTTACTGATATTAAAAATATATTAAAATATTTTATTTTGAAAGTGTCTTCTACCATTGATTGAATATTAACTAATCGCTTAATTAATTTATAGAATATTGCTCTTTTACAAAATTCCTCAAGAAATATTGTTTTTTGTGACTGTATCATTGTCGATTGTACCTCTAAATGCATGAATTTTATTTCTATCGTGTCAATTATCGACGCAAGGAGTTAACAGCATGGTGATTTAGCATAGCCGTACATGTCCCATAGTAGATTCCCATATTTCATCTAGCTGTAAAACGTTAATTTCTCGCGTTTTAAGTATAGATAATTAATATGGAAACGTGTAAAACTACAAAGTAAGAAGCCGTTTAGGACGATCGGATACTCCTACTACATTTATATATTCAATACTTATAAATAAACAATATATTCTTATTAATTTGTTTTTTAAATAATTTGACTAGTTCCAATAGAGTATATCACAATGCATAAATAGAGAGTGATTTGAAATAATATTAATCTTTGAATTAAAATATGAACTTGTTTTTTATCCTCTAGTCTATTCGACGTTTTATTTTTCATTACTAGCTTCGATAAAGTTAGCTTTGAAAAAGGAGTATCGTGATTCTAGCCTGTAACAACGCTGGCAAGAAACAATCAACGTATGCGTAGAAAAAAAAATCGAAAATATAATGTTTTAATTAAAGAAAAAAATAATTGAAATAGAGATAAGGCATAAATAAGAAATAACGTATGTAGATATGCGGATCAAAAGCTTTACTTAACTTGTCCAATGGCATGATATTGTTCAATGAAGTTTTTTTCTTAGCTTTTGCATTCTTGTTTCTTCTCATTTTTTTTTTTTTTTTTTTTTTTTTTTTTTTTTTTTTTTTTAATTTAATTAACTAATTCCTGCGTTTTAACGTTAAATCGTACGTATGTACAACTATATAAAAACAAAATAATTATGCGCATTGAGACAAAGCTAGTTTGCTTTTGCCCTGTCACTCTATAACACCGCTTATTCGTATTTTCTTATATCGCGATAAATCATCGTTCATCTCTAAGAAGAAGCAAGCTAGAAAAAGCACTTTGACATCGATTTATAATATTCGTTTATCTTCGAGCGTTTACAGGATTTTTTTCTCGCATAAAGGAAATATCCCGAGCATTGTATGTCGTTATTTCCTCCACCACATTAGCCTGCGAACTGGATAGATAATAATTAAATATGGTACGATGCGCAAATCCGAAACCAACACACATCAAAGTTAAGGATTGATTTTTCCACCATCTTTATATTTTATCCCGTTCGATCTTCTCGTTCGATCCCTTCCTAATCAGATCTTTACGAAATAGGGGCATATATAGATCGTCTGTTACCTGGCACCTCCAAATGGGCGGAAGTTACGGTGGAACCTAGACTGTTCGTCGCCGTGCATGCATAAGTCCCAGCATCCTCTATGTAAAAAAATAACAATTTTATCCAAATAAAATGTAAAAATAAATAAATTAACGTAATGACTATTAAAAAATTATGGAGGAAAGATAAGTACGAAGTATAATCACTCTTATATCGTACCGGGAAAAGTTTTCATTACGGTAAGACGGCAAACGCCGTTTCTGTATTGAATTTCATGACTCGTAGAATTTTCGACGATCTTACGATCCTTTGACCATAGAATATTAGGTTGCGGTTCAACTACTGCAATATCCTTCAGTGGCTGAAATATAATTATAAGAAATTCTTTTTCGATGTTAATAAAAAAAATTATTTCTGAGAATTATCAAAAAACTGTTAACATTACCGTGATGAATGTGGGAGCCTTTTTCGGTAATATGTCGAGATAAGGCTGAATCACTTCTTTGGTCGATGATACACCATTGCTAGTCGGCCACGGTGAACCTACGATGTTTGATAAAATTTAACAAAAAAATATAATAACGAACAATATATGACAATCAGGTTTAGAGCAATATGATTCGTACAGGATCCGGTATAACATCGTGAGTTTGTTAGAGCCAATTGTTAGAGACTAAAAATATGATCGATTAACATGCACGGAAATAAGAAGCGTCTCAATCGCAATCAATGTTAAATTAGATCATTTCTTTTCTTTCATCACACTTCCTAAATTGCATTTTGTGATAGTAATTGTAAGAGAGTTTCGAGAAGAATCCGAGTGCAGTCAGGAAAGCAAGAGCATAAGAGTTCCGATAGAAGTTATCGCAATCCAGAATCAGCGAGAGAAATGATAGAGAAAGAAATAGTACAGCGAACGATCCAAGCGAGATGAAAAGTGCTGAAAACAATTAATAAAGGCAACAACATATGTTCTCGCGATGGCAGGCTTATACCTGCAGAGTCCACATTGCTAGGTGGTCCAGTAGCGCTACTATGTCTGGGAGATAGGCTCGGCAAACTTGGACTAAGAGAAAGCGGGCTAGGCGTAATGCGATCCCATCTTGACGGTGATACGGAGCTGGGTATGATGAGACTCGGAGGCGCCATCATCGAGCTTTCCACGCCCAATTGCTTTTTATTGAGATGTCTCGTGTCCTCGGCTTCGGAAAACTCACTTTCCGACGTCGGCTCCCACTTGACAGTCTTGCCGAATTTGTTTCCCGGCTTGCTCTGGCGATTCAAGAACGTACCCTTCTTCGCAAAGCCATTCGCTTTCTTTTCGGTAAATTCGTGAACTATAGGTACATCTATGTCGCTGGCGCGTCTCTGTCCTTGAATGCTCTTCTGACTGCTTTCAACCGTCTTCTTACCCTCGCCGGGCAAAATGATACCGAATTCATAACCAAAGTCATACTTGAAATATATGAGCCCAGTGTCCGGATCGATTTGTTTTGTTCCTGTTTGCGCCAATGCATTACGATGCTTATTACTTCAAATGTAATATATTTATAAATCTATTCATGCAATATGCGCGCCATTAGATCGCAGACGGAATGTCTTATTGCTATGTTTTAAAATTATGTATTAGGTGTAAATATGTATGTATATTATACTTTTACATCAACTGCATATAATATGAGCAGTTAAGAAGAAAACTATATATATTTGCCTTTTAGATTAAAATAAGGTAATATTATTATATTACCGTGTTCGGAGACTCGCGATTCTTCTCTATAAGTTCTCGGCTCGTCACTATCCGTCGTCCTTGAATCGACAGGATGCTTCAAAATCGGTTTGCTCTGCCTCAAGTCCGATTGGATATCACTCACGAATTTCTCGGTTTTCGATTTGAAGCTGCTTGTCATATCACTCATGTGACGTGACGCGATGTCTGCGAACGTTTCAGAGCTTTGTATTACGGAGAAAATATTTATTCACCTTTTGCATATAGACGAAAGAGAAATCGTGCGTTTAATAAAGTGAAAAATAACATGTAGAACGAAAATATCACAAAAAAGGAGAAAATCGACCAAATAAACAGTAATTAAAGCCAAATAAAGATGTAAAGTGATAATTGTAAGAATCTATGTGTAATTATATCCACACTATTGTCGAGAATCAAAAATATACTTCTACCATCAGCGTTTCTATGATTGTCTACGTGAAAGCATTACATGGCATATTAATATTTCTCTTACGATCCGCAGCTTTTTTCACGTCGCTCCTCGAAATAAATCCGTATTCGGGTGGCGAGCCGGGCTGCAGGATGCTGTCTCTCTTTTCGGAAGCTGTTTGTTGCTGCTGGTATCTCTGATGGCCGACCGTTCCGTCTATGTCCTCTCTGCGGATCTGCGAGGTCAACGACGTCGTTGGAGGACCGGTGTCAAACTCTATCGGTGACACGACGTGCGTCTGCT